GTAGAGGTGTACTAACATTTAGCGCGGTGTCTAGAATTGGAAAATTTATCTGTGCTTAATTGAAAGTTCTCTTTTTTCTCAATTAGTGAGGTCCACAGGGTACTATAGTCTACTTGGAGCGTGGGGCTAAAACAAGAGTCAGTCTTTGTCTGCAAGGTAACGTCCTAGCCCCCTGAAGTTAGCTCCAGTTATGACATCTTCCACAGGCAGGATAAATCAATTGTACTTTCTTAAATTACAGATTGTGTTAACTATACTTAGAAGAAAAAGCACAATTTATATTACTGCAGAGCATGGGCAATGTCCCCTAATGAAACAAACCCAAAATCTTTGGATGTAAATTTCCATCTCTATTCTGGATTATCTATTTGTTTGCAGTACAGACCAGATCTGTGGAACTTATTACTCAAAAAAAGGGCATTTCTGATAGGCACACATACGTTTTTGTATTCTTCATCATGCTCAAGTCCACAGATCCATTACAACCGGATATTCACAGGATTGCACCTCCAGGGTAGGACGCAAATTCATCCTTTAAACATGGACATCTAAAATGAGGTATTTATTTACCCTCCTTCATCTGACCACTACGGTGTGAAGAAGACTTTTTCCAAAAATGAAATTGACTAAAGACTGAATGACCAATATGCTGAATTTACGGATGGCCATGAAGCTGCCCAGCAGATCTCAATACAGGTAACATGAGTACTCAGATTGTCAGTGCTCCTAACTACTGGATTTTGATGTTTAACAGAAGGAGGAATATTTCTTGAATTTACTTTGGGAATGAATGAATTGTGAAGACTACCTGTCTGAATTAAAAATACAATACAGGGTTTCACTGGAGAAACATTCGGATTTCAAAACTCATCTGATTGGAGACAGCAGCTATCCAGAGGTCTACTTTAATAGATAAGAAGTGAAATGATAGCTCCTGAAGGAGTTCAATCTGGATAGTGCAGTAAGGAGCTGAATGAGAGATTCCAAGGTCGTGTGCTGACTTTTTGAGGCTGGAATATGGGTTGTTGCCCTAAGGAAGCATTTAATGTTGGAATTTACACAAAACTTACTTTTCTTGAACAGGCTATTAACATTACACTTATAGCATTATACTGTACCTCTATACATTACAGAGATTTCACCCTTTTGCTGGGACATTCATACATCCACATTAAGGCCCTCCTGGAGGAACTCAAGGCTATGTTTCAGTTCTTTAACACTGAGTTTGCACCAGCCAAGAGAAGAAGTTTTCTGTGTTAACTTCTGTTTCAGGTCCATGAGAGTGATGATAATCATTTCATTGAAGTGTCCATTTTGAAGCTGTCTGGTCCTGGACGAAGGAATGGTTTTTCCAGTAGCAAACCTTCTCTATGAGATAGAGACACTGGAAGGTCCGTTGTTAGGTTAAGCAAACCTCTTTAGCTAGAAAGACAAAGGGTAACATGACTGCTCTATTCTTCCTATCCTTTTGTATGGTTCTAGGGAGCATTGGAAAAGCTGAGAAGGCATGTAACAGATTCTTGCAAAGCTGGGCAATGTGATTATTTACCACCTCCCATACTAGGTTCTGACACATGGAGATGCCAAAGGCGGTTATTGCGATTTCATTATACAAACTGGAAAACCACCAGCCCACCAAACTGACTTAAAATGAGGATATTTTTGGGTGTACATTTCACATTGCTTAATCTCACTTTTACCATATGTAAGTCTTGTTGTTCATCTCCCTCTTGATGGGCAACATACATAGAGACAGGAAATTTTGTTCCACTCAGTGTAGGAGAAGTTGATTTTCTCTCTGGAGTTGGGCTGATTATGTTCTTCCTAGTTCCTTTATGAAAACCTCACCAGAGACATTGACCGTAACAACCAGCACAAATTAATTCCATATTTCTCTTTGAATTAGAGTTTAAAGCATTTATATGAAATATTGTGCCAGTTACAAGGTATTTATCAGCATTCACTAAGTAACCAGCATTGTCTTCCTCAATGTGCACATATAGCTGTTCGCTACTGATTCTTCACCTTCTCTATGTTACTGCTGCTGTTCACTAACATTTCACTGAAATGCACGGAGTATTATTAAGATGGGCATGGTACTTTCAGCAGCACAGCTAATATCTGATACTAGCGGGAACTTGTAACATTCAGCAACATTTTAGCTGTCTAAAGTTCTTACTTTAGCCCTTGTTTTTCAGAGAACATTCCTTAGTCCATTCTTGATTTGCCACTGGGCATAATACTTCTAAAACTACTTCTAAAATTGGTTCTCGCCAATTCATATTTTCTTAATGGGCAAAGGAATATATGCTGCAGATTTACTTCTAATAAATACTAAAGAAATATGAAAAGCATGTAAATCAGATCACTTTATGATCAGTTAAACTAAGAAGAGCTAATATACTTTCACAAGAAAAATGCATTGCAAATAGCTGTACGTTTTTATAGCAAGGATATCATAGCCAAATCTCAATTTATCTTCAAGCTTCAGAGTAATGTATGTCTGTTCAGGAATCCTCACATCATTCACAAACGTCTACAAAATAAAAAGGAGAAAACAGATATTGTTATACTTCAAAATGTAAAACTTCCAGTACCAATCTAATTTTGCATAAGAGGTTGCAGCACTACATAATTAACATTACTGGTTAATGATGCATGATCCTATTGGTGAATTAAACAATTGTGTAGAGCTATTACATGCCTAACAAAGTATTTCAAGAAGAAAGTGAAATATTAGAGCCAGCAAATCAGGGTGGTATAATCAGACTAACCTTGTAAAGCTTATTACCATTTTAATCTTATTAGTAGTATGTACTGGAATTGTTCATTACTACAATATGCTGTTCCCTCAAATATTTTTTTCCTGGTAGCCTTGTTTATCCAATCCATAGAGATGTTCAGTTTTGGAGTTATTTTAAGAATGTTAACTGACTCTTTTGTGAAAAAATTAAATGAGGACTGGACATGAAATGGCATGGAGTCAGAAGTACTGCATTGCTGTGGCACTACTTGTCTAGTTCTGCAAAGACTAATCTTTAATCTTAGAAAGAAAGGCTTTCAGTGCCAGGAGAATTGTTTAATTGATTATGTCCATATGAAAACTAATTTCTTCTGATGTCCAGAAGAAATTATATTATAATATATTATATTCAAAGATGGCTTAGGTGACCACCATATTCTAAACTGGAGGCATCTATAATTACATGATTTTGTAATGGGATGGCACAACTTAAATGGATGTAAGCATCTTGGGAGCCCCCACCTCCCAAAAAAAACCACCCACAAAATTCTTGAACTATTAATGTATGCCCGGAATTTGAATCTTCAAATATTTGTTTTGTCCACTTAAATCTAATTTTGGATGAAACTTGCACTTTTCCTGAGAATACAGAAATGAAACTCCTTCCCCAAAATGTTACTGGAACCTTTTCTGGCTGCCAGAATTAAGCAAAGAAGCCATTTCTCTGTCTAGTTTTTCATAAGATTGCATGTCAGCATGGTACTTAAGTGTCTTTCATGAGAAATGAACACAAAAATATCTGTTTTTGCCAATCCTGGTGGCAAGAAAAAATGCTTACCTACCTTTCGTAACTGGTGTTCTTCGAGCTGTGTTGCTCATGTCCATTCCATGTTAGGTGTGCGTGCACTGCATACAACACTGCTGGAGATTTTTCCTCTAGTGGTATCCGTAGGATCAGCTCTGGCATCCTCTGGAGTGCTGTGCTCATGCGCCGGTATATAAGGCACTGCTGGCCCTGCACGATCTCAGTTCCTTCTTGCCATCAACTCCAACAGTGGGGTAGGAAGGTGGGTCATGGAATGGACATGTGCAAAACATCCTGAACAACAGTTATGAAAGGTAGGTAACCATTTTTTCTTCTTCAAGTGCTTGCTCCTGCTGATTCCATATTAGGTGACTCACAAGCAGTATCCCTGGAGGTGGGCTCAGTGTTCACAGTCTTGCGGCTTGCAACACTGCTCTACCAGAGCTTACATCATCCTTGGTTTGCTGGGTAACGGCGTAATGGGACGCGAAGGTGTGGACTGAAGACCAGGTCACGGCTCTGCAGATGTCCTGTATTAGTACCTGCACAAGGAAGGCTGCTGACAAAGCTTGAGCTCTGTTGGAAAGGGTGGTCACGACAGCTGGCAGTGACATCCCTTCTTGCTCACAGCAGAACCTGATGCAGGTGGTTATCCACGAGGAGATCCTCTGGGAGGAAACCGGCCAGCCTTTCATCTTGTCTGCTACTGAGAAAAGGCTTGGTCCTCTCGAAGTAGAAGGCCAACGCCCATCTAGCTTCCAGGGTATGTAGCCTGCATTCCTTGCTGGATTTATGAGGCTTTGGGAAGAATACAGGCAGGAATATATCCTGATTATTGTGGAACTGCAACACCACTTTCAGCAAGAAGGCAGGGTGGGGCTGCAGTTGGACTTGTCTTTGTACAGAATACCATATAGGGTGGTTTGGAAGCGAGTGCTGTAATTTCAGAGAGTCTGCGGGCCGAAGTGATTACGACCAGGAAGAAAACCTTCCATAAGAGAAGCAGCAATGAACATGAAGCTAATGGTTCAAAGGGGACCCCGTGAGCCTTGGAAGCGCCAGGCGGGGGCGGGGAGGGGGGAGGGATCATGGCACACCTCTCGGACACCTCCACCAAAGTTGGATGGGAGAAATGTCTCAGGACCACAGAGAACCCCCATGGATTCCAGCATTGCCATTGGACTGGCCATTGACTCAGGGGCCACAGGCCCATGGGCGGAACGGTGCCCACATCCAGTTGGTATGCCGGTGATGGTGCCTCTTTTGCAGGGGCGCGGTCTCGGAATCCAATGAGGATTCCTTGTAGGAAGATTATGGGAGCGCACCCGAGGCACACTTCTAAATGGCTATGATAGGCTGCTGGGGAGTGATGCTCCGGGGACTGGCTATGGGAGACTGGTAATCGGTGCCAGGAGTCCGGGGATCATCGTCGAGACTCTGGCGAGCGTCGTCTCTGCTCAGGAGATTGGTGCCACTCCGGGGACCAATAACTGGGTTCCGGCAACCAACGTCTAGAGTTGGAAGCATGGTGCTGGGGCTCAGGTGATCGGCTCCTGGGGGACAGTGACCATTGCTAGCCAGCTGGGGAATGCTATCTTGAGGTTTGGGATGCACTCAGATATGGTAGCCGGCGCCATGTAGGGGAACACTGTGGGGACACTAAAGCAGGTTTGCCCCATGAGACAACTATCTTAGCTAGTTTGGTAACCGACTGCCGATTACGGGGTGTAGGCAGGACCAGCAAAGCCATGAGGTCCTTAGCTGTCTGGAAGGCCTCAGGCATGGACTGAGCCCTAAGATGTGGTACATCTTTGACGAGTGCACGGGGCGGGTCCCGGACTGGGCTGGTGAGGTTGCACACCTCTGCAGGACAGAGAGGCCTGATGCGGGTCACAACTCTCTTTCTAAGTCTTTCGTATTCCCTGCGGGCACCAGGGAGCACCCTATCTTGGTGCGCTTCTTTTATCTATTTCTTGGTGCGGGGGATGTTGAATGGTGCCGAGGAGGACACAGTGCTGGAAGAACACTGAGGCAGACATGTTCAGTGCCGAGTCTGGCCGACTTGGGTCGGACATCGATCTCAGCGCAGCTTCCATCAGGATAGCTTTAACTCTAATGTCCCTTTCCTTTTGGGTTTGCAGCAGAAGCCCCTGCAAATCGTGCACTTACCATGAACGTGGGCTTCCCTGAAACAGTTAAAGCAGCTGGAGTGAGGGTGGCTGACCGGCATGGGCTTAGCACACACCGCACATGGTTTGAAGCCCGGGGCATGCCCCATCCCGGGAACAATGTCCCGTAAGGGGACTAACTAATAGTGAGAAACTATACAATACTTAACTGTAACAAAAACTACTAACAACTGTTTACAACAGGAATCAGAAGAAATCATTAGAGGTTTGCTGAAGCAAAAGCGCTGTTCTAGCAGCCATCATGGGCAGTAAGAAGGAACTGAGACGGTGCAGGGCCGGCGGCGCCTCATGTACCGGTGCATGAGTCGGCACTCCAGAGGGTGCCAGAGCCGACTCTATAGATACCACTAGGGGAAAAATCTCTGGCAGCGGTGCATATGGCACGCCCACACCTAACATGGAATTGACATGATCAAGCACTCTAAGAACTTCATCTATGGAATAACTATAAAAGTAAAGCGAAAACAAAAAAGTACTTCTTTCAAAGAGAAAAGGAGAAGGAGGAGAAGTAGTAATAACTACACTAAGGGTACGTCTACACTACCCGCTGGATCACGGGTAGCGATCGATCTATCGGGGATCAATTGATTGCGTGTAGTGTAGATGCGATAAATCGATCCCCAATCGCTCTCCCGTCGACTGCTGAACTCCAGCTCGGCGAGAGGCGGAAGCAAAGTCAACGGGGGAGCCGCGGCCGTCAATCCCGCGCCGCGAGGACGCGAAGTAAGTGATTCTAAGTCGATCTGAGATACGTCGACTTCAGCTACGCTATTCTCGTAGCTGAAGTTGCGTATCTTAGATCGATCCCATCCCCCTAGTGTAGACCAGGCCTAAAACTGACAGGTAAGGAACTATCTACTAAGATTCTGCAGATTCTGTCCCTGACCAAAGGCAGTAGATAAGGAACTGTGGGGTGGTCAGATTGCACAGCACTATATATACGTCCCACTCACAGTGGTGGTGGGGGAGGTAAGCATGTGCAGTCTGACAGGCACTGCTGATGAAGATCTTCGATCCCAGGTGCAGGGGGCGCTGCCGCACCTACAGTTGAGCACCCACAGGGACATCACTGGAAGAAGAACCTGCACTCTTATTGGAAATTTTTAAGCACAGGTATTCTCCACAAGCAAATGTACACAACTAAGCTATAAAGCACTTTTACCAGGAATATAGCCACTATTGACATGGATTTTGGAAATACTTGGGTAGCAGCAGACAGTTCAACGGGCAAGACTGTAAACTGATAATGGGTGCTGTTGACTAGAAATCATAGGAAACTCTTGTGGCTTTGATGGATAGCCACATGAAAAGCCGAGGGTAACCTACCAGCCACGAGAATCCAGGAAGGGGATTATGGAGGCTAGAGTGACCATGAGAATCCTTATTTGCTTTACCTATGCAAATTTCACTGGTTTAGATGGGTTGGAGATATGGTTAAGGCCTTTGGGATAAGGAAGTAACATGAATAGAAACATTTCTCTCAGCGGAGAGTGGGGGCCTTCTCTATAGATCCCAAACGGAGGAGAGACTGGACCTGCTGGAGGAGGACAACCTTGTGAGAGTGCTTGTTGAAGAGAGACAGGGAAGGCAGGTGGGAAGGATGGAAATAAACTGCAGTGTTTATCCCTGATCCAGAGTACTAAGAACCCATCAATCTGTGATCATATGGACCCAAGCTCATGGAAGTAGAATAACCTACTGGGGAAGAAAACAGGGGAGACAGAAACTAGCACGTAATGATCTAGTACTCGGACCTCAACAAGAGAATCAAACAGGCTGCTTTGCAATTTCCAGACTGT